TAAAAAGCACCTCACACCTGACTCTCCAGCAGGTTTTCAGAAACTGTAAATCGCAAGGAGAGTTCCATTGTTTCGTGCAGAGGTACTTGATTAGAGCCACCAGAGCTAGCGTTTTATTGCTTAAAGGAAATATAAAGATGTTTCCGACTTGTTCTCGAGGAGCTCACAGATTGGAAAGACACCCCGACGAGGCGAGACCAGAGTCCTGTCCACCCACAAGCTCCATAGGAGGACAGGAGCCAGTGTCGGACTTTGCAGCTCCCTGACCCGGAGCGCCCTATCAGCAGTCCCGGGCCCCGCCCCCGCCGCCAGGAATCGCCCAGCGCCTTCTGGCTCCTCCGCGGCGCCGTAGACTGAGCCTAGCGGGGTTCGAGATGGCGGATGTGTCAGAGAGGACGCTGCAGGTCTCGGTGTTGGTGGCCTTTGCCTCGGGAATACTTGTGGGCTGGCAGGCAAACAGGCTGCGAAGGCGTTACTTGGACTGGAGGAAGAAGAGGCTGCAAGACAAGCTGGCAGTGATGCAGAAGAAACTGGACCTGGCCTGAGACCTCACAATCCGCGCGCGGAAACGTCTGGACGCCGCGCTGACCCGGCCACTGCCCAGCCTCGTGGGGGGCTGGACTCAAGTGGCCATGGACCATATACAGGATGGAGCTCCAGGTCAGGCAGAGGTGTCGGGACGCGAGGGCTCTAGGAGCGTGCAAGAGGTGCAGTCCTCTCCGGCAGACAAGGGCAGTTTTCCTGAATTTGGTTTTCCTTTGTTTAGTGGCCGTGAACCACGTCATAGTATGGCTTGCATTTTGACAGTCATAATCTTCAAAATAGAAAGTGCTAGAACGAAAAGAAAGGACAACCCTAATGGGAAGGTGTACCTGTCATCTTTCCCCTCTTACGGTTGTTTTTGGTAACATCCTTAGTAGCACTGTGGCGCGAATTTGTTTTCATATTTTGTATTCTTCAATGTTGTATTTTAAATTACTGACAGCCTATTAGACAGAACAGTGGCCTGAAGTTTCCTTTGCACCCATTTTTAGCATTTTCAAAAGAGCTGTGCATCATCAATTTTCAAAGCCTCCTTTACTTAGTTGTAACGTCAGGTCTTAAAGTTCGTACTTTAATTCCAGAATGCAATTATTTGAAGTTAACGATTACGCATCTCTAATGTTATTTGTGTTTGTTTTTTTTTGTTTCTAACAGTGTCAAGGATGGCTCTTAGAACACTGGACAGAAACTTTCTTCCTGCACTTTATGAAGCAATTTTAATTTTAAAATAAAAAATGTGACATCGTTAACCTTTTTCCAAGAATGAAGAGAGTGGCTTTCTTGGTTACCATATACTTTACAGTGGAGCAGTAGTGTTAAAAGGGTTGGCTGATCAATAGAAAGTCAGCTGGCCAGCTGCTTTCCGGGAGCAGGATGAGGCAGTCTGCTTCCTAAAGACTTACAGTGGTGGAAATCCTATGGGACAGTCCTACTTTGTCCTATTGGGTCACTCACTAATAGTTGGAATCCACCCAGTGACAGTGGGTCCTTGGTTCAGAGCACTGTTTCTTAAAACTGGCGTATTATTTTGAGCTGATAGTCGACTTTCTTAGGGAAACCTATGCCAGTTCTTTGATACAATAAAAAAGCAGGAGTTTGCAGAGCGACCTTTGGTCACTGGATGTACTGGACCTATTTGAAAATGAATGGCTAAAAAACAGGTAGGGTAATACATATAAGACCTTTACACGTCTGAGAATGACGGTATACTGCAAGCACGGAATAGAAGCTTCCACTGGCAAAAATCTCATTTAAGGAATATCAACATGTAAAGGAAACATCTTTTTAAATAGAACTTTATCCCAACTGTATCTCTGTATCAAGGGTGAGTAACCAAGCCTTTCACTCCTTATTTGTAGGTGTGCTTCCTCCAGCATAGAAGTCAGTCGAGTTGCTGTGAAATTTCACATCTCAGGAAAAATAACAATTTTCATAATTTAACATTATCGTTAAGAACATTGAGAAAAGTTTCCATAAAAAGCTGGTTTTCTTTTTTCCATTTTACTGTGACCATTTTGCCTTTTCAAATTTCATTACGTTGAACATTCAAAGACTGACATACTGACTGGCAGAAGTCCATCCCATCCAGACTTTACATTTGGTGAAGCAGCCTCATCCTCACCCTGGATTGATAGGATGCAACCCCACGGGGGTAATTATTAGGACTTCCCAAGGGTCAGTGCCCAGAGGCTGCAAAAGTTAACAGGCTCCCGCTGCTGTCAGGAACACTGAGAGGGTCCAGCCAAACAGATTCTTGGCAAGGCAAGCCTGAGCTACTATATCCCCACAGTCTCACGGCAATATGAGTCACTGTAATGGAAACTCCTCGCAGATTTTCTATAGAAAACAAGAATTATCCTCCCAAAACTCAGGTCAAACAATATGCAATAGTTATGGCAACAACTTTAAAAACTTTGGAGGTAGACACCACAAACATGTATCTCAGGAAAACCATAACCTTATAGGAAAGTAGCCTTGCAATTAGTAGGAGTTTTTTTGTTTTGTTTAGTTTTTTTTTTTGTTTCTTTTTTTTTAATTATTAAATTTTATTCGTTTTAATGAACATTTACAGGGATTTGGGGTTTTCATTCCTTCATTGCTGCACCATTCTCTCTACCCTCCTCCCCAGTTTGTTCTTCTTCCCCCCGCCATCCGAATGTCTGTTTTAATTGTCCAATTGCCACAGTGCTTGTCAAAACCAGTTCTGATTAATCTCTTTTGTCAGTGTGTCCTTTGCCATTCCCTATTACTCCTCCCTGAGAGAGACTTCACCCTGATTCATAAGGAAAAGGGGATGGCGTATTCTCTTAGCTACTTCCTGCTGAAAAGGGACGCTGTGGGTTTCAGGGTGAAGATCTTCTCTCACTACTCTAAAGGGCCCCTTTGGCAGTAGGAAACACATAGACTATTATGGAGATTGATTTTGGAATTTAGATGCACTGTTATTAATTGTGCTTAGCCATACATGTTCATATCCTTGAAGATGTATCTTGGGGGTGTTGCAACCTAGAAGACACAAATTTAACTAACAAGTTATAAGTACATGAGTCAAAAATTATGGAAAAGTAAAAGAAAAGATTCTTTCATTGTTTTACAAACCCTCCCCCAGGTCCCCTCCACCATGTAGCCATCACTCTAGACTCCTGTGATGACAGAAATACCTCATCACATATCTCTTTTAAACAGTTTTCTCCCTCCTCTGTTTCAGTGCAGTATACATTATTGAACCCATCTTACTCAGTCTCTCCCCAACCCCGAGGACAGTCCCATTCTACAACAGTGGCATCATGTAATATTTGTCCCTTTGTGACTGGGATATTTCACTCAGCATAATGTTCTCCAGAGTCAACCATTTTGAATAATATTGCATGAGTTCCTTGTTTTTCAATGCAGCATAGTATTCCATTGTGCGAATATACCACAGCTTCTCTAGCCATTCGTTTGTTGATGGGCACTTAGGTTGTTTCCAACTCCTTGCTATTGTGAACAAAGCTGCAGTAAACATGGGTGTGCATATATCTGCTTGGATGTCAGCTATGGTCTCTTCAGGGTATATTCCCAGTAATGGAATTGCTGGGTCAAATGGTATCTCTATTTGCAACTTTTTGAGAAAGCGTCATACTGCTTTCCACAGGGGTTGTACCATTTTACACTCCCACCAACAGTGAATCAGGGTTCCAGTTTCTCCACAACCTCGCCAGCATTTGTTGCTTGCTGTTCTGTTAAATTTTGCTATTTTGACTGGGGTGAGATGATATCTCATAGTTGTTTTAATTTGCATCTCTCTTAGGGCTAGGGATTTTGAGCATTTTTTCATGTGCTTGTTAGCTATCTGAATGTCATCTTCCGTGAAGTGCCTGTTCATATCCTGTGCCCATTTTTCTATTGGATTATTACCTTTATCTTGATGTGGTGCTCAAGTATTTCATAAATTCTGGATATAAGTCCCTTATCTGATATGTTATTACCGAATACTTTTTCCCAGTCAGTGGCTTCCCTTTTTACCCTATTGGAGAAGTTTTTGGATGTGCATAGGGATTTGAGTCTTAGAAGATCCCATTCATCTACGTTATCTTCTCCTGGTTGTAGGTTTTCCAGGATACTGGGAAGACTGTTTATGTTGTGGATTAGGACTTCTCGTGTTGTTCTTAGCTTTTCTGTAATGAAGTTTATAGTCCTTGGTTTTAGTCCTAGGTCCATGATCCACCTTGAGTTGGTTTTTGTGTATGGAGTGAGGTGTGGGTCTTGAGTCTTTTGCAGATATTTTTCCAATTTTGCCAACACCATTTGTTAAAAAGGCTGTCGTTTCCCCACTTCACTGATTTCATCTCCTTGTCAAAAATCAGGGTTTTTTTTTAAGATTCTTTTTTACAAAATTTTTATTATTTGCGTATGTATACCATCAAATCAAATTTGTCTGGTACAGGAGGAGATTGTTCCTCCTTCTCCAGCAAAGCATCTGGTGGATTTGAACTGCTCACCTTTCAGATTGCAGTGCAGCTTCTTGCCACTAGGCCACCAGAACTCGCTGCAAGTAGGAGTTTTAAGATGCTCAAATTCCGTTTTAAGTTTTGTTTAAGTAAAATTCTTATCAGAAACTAAATGCCATAAAAGGCATCCTAACAAGATATTGCAGTATTGTGCGACATGGAGTTTTAAATGCCTTTGAATGTTTGCTCCCGTCCCCTGCCCAAATCCTGTGACTTTTGCAAGAAAAAGCCCGAGTATCTGAAAAATGATCCCAGACCTTGAGCTGTGGGGGTTCAGGTGGGGGTCGCGGTGGGACCGGATGGGATGGGATTAGCTACAGGCCAACCCCTCCGCTTCCCGCGCGCCCCAGGGCGGCCCGACTCCGGAAGCCGGGCGAACAGCGATGGCGTCATGCTAGCGCGCCACCGCCATGGTTTCCTAGGAGACCGGTAACCCATCCGCTCAAACCGGGCGGGGAGGCCAGGGTTATGCTGAGGAGGCGGCCTCGCGATCCCCTGCAGGCTCTGCACCGCCGCAACCAGGAGCTGAAGCACCAGGTAGAGTCCGGCCCCCGGCTCTGGCCCAGGCCCGGCGAGGTGGCCCAGGTCCGGCGCGAGCCACAGTGGTGGCAGTGGCGCCTAGGCGCCGTATGCGGCTCGGGGAACCCTCCCCAAACAACCCACTGCACTTCCCGAGTGGCTAACTACCCCCCTGCGGGCAGCACGAAGCCCCGAAGCCCCGAGTCCCAACCGTGGTGGCCTCAGCCACAGGCCGAGCCCTGCGATCCTGACCAGCATCTAGCGCCTCTCACTAACTCCTCTACCCACCTTGCCTCTCCATTTACAACTCTTAACTAACCCAAAGGTTACAGGTTTCTGGCGGTTCAAATCCACTAACTGCGCTGCAGGAGAAAGACAGTCTCCTCAATTTAGGATTTATAACCTCGTAAACTCCATGAAGTAGCTGTGAGTCAGACATGAGGGTAGGGAGTTGGATTTATTTGCAATCTGTTGTGCTCCCAACCTCTCTCCCTTACTCTTTCCTTTGAGCCACCTTCCAGCTGTCTGTTGTGGGAACCGACTCCAGCAGGTTCGCAGCTGATGGATACGAATCGCCTGCCTTTGGGTTGGTAGCTCAACTCCTTACCGCGAGGTCGAATTCGTTCGGGTGAAGTTAAGTGTCAAGGAGAAATCTAAGCATGCGCGAAGAACATTCAGATCTGAAACAGAAGAGGCGTAAACTAAAGAGTAAATGCAAAGTAACATGAGAAAAGTTAACTTCAAAGATAGCCAGAAGATTAGAAAGAAATACAAATGCAACCAAAAAAAATCTCAATGTGCTGGCATGTACAGGAAACCCTAATTTCTGACAAGGATATAACAGGATGACAGAAGTTACTGTTAACTGATTGGGAAAATGTAAATGAAAATAACTATGAGTAATAATAATTAATGCCTTAACTTGAACGTTGATTATAATTTAAAAATTAGAAGCATTTTTTCTGAGCACAACATTCCTCTTCAACTAAAAAAGCCTATAAACTAAAAAAACCAAAACAAAAACACTCCGAAAACAAAACCCAAAAAGCTTTCTGGTGGGGAGAGATGATGTAAAATGCTTATATTTACTAATCCAGTGTGTAAACTCCGATATTTCTTTTTCTTTTAAGGCAAAAATATAGCCGTCTTATGTTAGCAATTTCACGTTGTGTTGTATCAGGCTCTCCCTGTATTGTTATGGCTTTCCTCTAAAATATCACATTACTGCTTGTTTCCATTAAACTAACTCCAAATTCCCTACAAATGTAGCTCTTGGGCCAAAGGCAGTCTTGTACAGGCATGAAAGCCTTCATGGTTAAAGAATGTACCTTTGGGAAGTCCTGCTCTCTGTTTCTCTCAGATGTTAAGCACCTAAAAGATCACTAATCATTCCAAACTGGATGCATGTTTGTCAGTATCTTTTGTTTTTAACTACTTCTTTCCCC